CGGGGAGCCCTGCACGAGGACGTGGCGCGCAAGATGTTCCGCCAGCTCTCCTCGGCGGTCAAGTACTGCCACGACATGAATGTTGTCCACCGCGACCTGAAGTGTGAGAACCTTCTCCTTGACAAGGACTTCAACATCAAGCTGTCCGACTTCGGCTTCTCCAAACGCTGCCTGCGGGACGGCAGCGGCCGCATCATCCTCAGCAAGACCTTCTGCGGGTCGGCGGCGTACGAGGCCCCCGAGGTGCTGCAGGGCATCCCCTACTAGCCCAAGGCGTACGACATCTGGAGCCTGGGCGTGATCCTCTACATAATGGTCTGTGGCTCCATGTCCTACGATGACTCTAACATCAGGAAGATGCTGCGCATCCAGAAGGAGCATCGCGTGGACTTCCCGCGCTCCAAGAACCTGACGGGCGAGTGCAAGGACCTCATCTACCGCATGCTCCAGCCCGACGTCAACTGGCGGCTGCACATCGACGAGATCCTCAGCCACTCGTGGCTGCAGCCCCCCGAGCCCAAGGCCATGTCTTCTGCCTCCTTCGAGAGGGAGGGGGAGGGCAAGTACCGGGCCGAGTACAAGCTGGATACCCGGCCGGGCTCGAGGCCCGACCACCTGCCTGAGCACAAGCTGGGGGCCAAAACCCAGCACCGACTGCCGGTGGTGCCGGAGAACGAGGACAGGATGGAGGACTGGCTGGCCGAGACCTCTAGGGCCAAAGACCATCACGTCTCCGGAGCTGAGGTGGGGAAAGCGAGCACCCAGCAGTAATGAGGGCCAGGGGCAGTGGCGCAAGGTTTGCACCCCTGTAAACTGTAAGTAGGCAAGGAACAAGTAAAATTTGTCAACTAAACCGCCAAAAAAAAAAAAAAAAAAGAGTATTCTAGAGAGGCCGAATGACCATTTGTCAAGGATGTTGCCAAAGGAATTCCAGCAGCATCAGAGTCACCTGGGAGACTGTCAGAAATAAAAGTCCCAGGCCCCACCCGGAACTACTGAATCAGAATCTGCATTTTCACACTGTGATTCGCGTGCATATTAAAGCTTAAGCAGCACTGTCCTGAATGACGTTTACAGGGTTCCATAACTTCAGCACTCCATTACCTGCAATCTGCAGGAGGGTAAGTGGCAAGGCAAGGGTTCGGCTCCATGAGCTGTAACTCCTAGTAGCAATAAGGGAGGCAACGTCACCAGTGACCTCTGTGGCTACATACAATAGATCCACTTCTAGACTTTACCTTACTGACTTCTGACACCTGACACTGCTGCCCATTCCCTACTTCTTTAAACGTTATTTTCCCTTGGCTTCATGAGGATATAGCCCTGGTTCTCCTGAGTTTTCTTCCATTGCCTCTTAAGCGCTGATGCCTCTCATCACGTTGACCTAAGTTCCCTTCTCTTCCCAGTTCACACACTCTTCTAAAACAATCTCTTCTATTTCCATATTTTAAATTATCATTTAAATATCTCTCATATCCGCACCCATCAGCACAGACTTCTCTTTCAGGCTCCTGATCTGTTTATCCAACTGGCATTGGACATTTCAAAGACTTCCTAGAACTTCAAATTCGATAGGACCAAAACTGAGTTCATCATCTTCCCCATAAACCTGTTTTTCCCTGGGCTATTTTCCATCCCAGAGAAAGGCACTACCGGTTTCCCCACCTGTCCAAGCCAAAGCCAGGACTCACTGCTGCCTAAGCTTGTTCCCTCTCAGTCAGCCCCGAGGGCCTGCTGCTTCTACCTGCTACTTAGAAGGTAGTCAGTCCACACTTCACCATCACTGCTGCTGCTGCTCTAGTCAAGATCGCCCACCCTCTTGGCCTCCTGGGTGACAGGCCTCCTCTCGCCCCACCTGCCTCTAGCCTTGCTCTCCTCTTATCCATGCTACACATGGCATGATCCAGGGCAGTATTTCTAAAACACACATTTGATCTCCTTGCTCATCTTGAAACTCCTCAGGAACATACTCTACCCCACTCCCTGCTCCCCACTCCCACACACAATGCTTTAAGGGTAGTCTAAACCCTGAGACAGAGGCAAAAAGACCCTTAATGATCTGGCCCTTGCCCAGCTCTCCATCTTCATTTCTCACCACTCACCACCTCATAGCACACCTCAGCAACACGGGACTTGTCAGTTCCTTGGATGTGCCGTACTTCACTTCTGGGCCCTCATACCTGCCCCCTCTGTGCTTGGACATTTTCTTCCATTTCTTTAAGTGGTTAATCAACTCTAACTCACCCTTCATAAACGACATAACAACACTTGCTCCAGGAAGTCTTCCCTGATCAGGCAAGGTGATCTGCTGTGTGCTCCCACAGTGCCTTCTCTCCTACACAGCACTCGTAACACTGTGGCCACTGCAGGATTTATTGTCTGTCCTCTGAGCTAAACAACAGGCTCTATAAAGCAGGGCTATGCCAATTGCCTCATTACAGTACCTTCAGTGCCTAGCAGCAGGCCTGGCACATAGTAGGTGCTTAATAAATATTTTTGATAAAAGCAGGAATGGGAGGAGAGAGGTTGGGCAGGGATAAATTTCCCAGTGGCTGGATAAGACTGAAGACCTGGGGTTGCCCACAATGCAAGCATGTAACGTAATGTATCATTACCTAGCCATTTTGAAGATATGCATTCTTGGTCACAGAAGGGACCAAGTTACAGGCTATGAATAAGTTGACACACGCATCTTCAATATGCTGCTAGAAAGCAATGAATGTTTATGGCCACTTAGTGGCACTTTTTCTATAAAGACAAGGAAGCACAATTCGCCGAGAATGGATATATTCTTATTAACTGAAAAGATTTTTTGTTCTGTCCTTACCTTCTTTTTACAAATTGCCTAAACTCTTGAAGCTTCCATTTGTCATATTTTTCAAACCTTTTGAAGTGTTCTTCTGCATGAAATTTATCAGAAGAGGAATTATAGGCAAATACCAATCCACACTGGGCACCAATGCCACCACGTCGAACCTACAAACAAAAACCAGGACAAAGTATATCAAAGGGACCTAAGTTCTGTGGTTATTTTGTTTCCAAATAATATGGTTATATTCAAATAGCATAAAGCAAAATCAAACCAATGAAACAATATTTCAAGTAAATTAAGTCTTGGAAAAGCAAGGGGCTTCCCAAGAAATGTTCCTTAACTTTCTCAATCCTTGTATTTATACCATTCACAGACTTAATAATCTATCCATCTTTGTGTCCCTACCCTCTGCTACAGGCCTAACAAAGAGTAAATAATCATTAAATGTTCAATGAAAAACCAATGACAGGGACCTCTGAATATAATACTATTACTATTTTTTTTTTTTAAAGGGTAGTAACATTGCTTAAAGAAGGTAGCATGAGAATTACCATAATTCTGATTTGTGTAACTTGGAAGGCAGATTCAGTTCCTGTAGAAAAAATAGTACTTGCTCTGGTTTTTCCAGTCTCTGTAAGAAAACCTGAGAAAAGGAAAAACTAAAGTTAGGATGACTGACTCATTTTTATAACTCTATAAAAATAATCTTATAGAACTATAGTCTATAATCTTACAGAATTAAGATCAACAAAAACAAACCATATCCTTTGAGGCAGGGGGCAACTGGTCTATCTGGTACCTTCACGAAAATTAGAAAAATGTCCCCTTTGGACAGATGCA